GGAGTTGGACCATATATTCAAAGTGCTGAAAGAAAAAAACAAAAGAAAACTTCCAACCAAGAATACTCTACCTGGTAAGGTTATCACTCAGAATTGAAGGAGGAATAAAGAGTTTTTCACACAAACAAAAGCTAAAGGAGTTCATCACTAACTAAACTGGCCTAAGATGAATATTAAAGGGACTTCTTTAAGCTGGAAAGAAAGAGCGCTGATTAGTAACAAGAACCCACGTGAAAGAATAAATCTCATGAAACAAATAAATACCTAGTAAAGGTAGTGGATTAAGGTTAAAAGACAAAAGTAGTAAAAATAGCTATGATTACAATAATTAGTTAAGGAATCCACAAGATAAAAAAATGTAAAATGTGACATCAAAAACATTAAACAGAATTATAATGCTGAGTTTTATAGAGATCAGTCTTGTTATCAACTTAACATAGATGATTACTATATGTCATATGTAAACCTTTTTTTTAACAAAAGAACAAATCATTTATTTATTTACTTTTCAGTAAGTTTAAATCCTTGAGGGCACGCATGACATGGATTCTGTGTCCGATGCCCTTGGAAGGAAGGTTGCTTTGAAATTTGGCACAAACCACAGTGCTGTTTCCACCACCCCTGTTATTCTCTCACCAGATGACTGGTTTGTTTGGTTTTCCACGAGAAGTCACTGTGTTGTTCTTTCCTTCATACATAGAAGCACATTTCCTGCCTAGAGAGAACAGTTTCATCTAGAGAATAAACACCTTCATTTTTCAGAACAGCCGTGTGCCTCCCTCTGGTCCACAGACGCCCGTATAGGCAGCAACAATGGACTTTACCACAGCCTTCCAGAGGAATGTTGTTGAAGCCCTGGTCCCAGCAAGGCCCCCACAGGCTCCACAATGGAGAAAAGAGAGCTAATAAGGTTTCATTTACTTTTCGAACATGTCTAAAGCACATTTGAAGAAATGTTCCTATCTATTAAATTGGAGTATTGTGTGTTTTTGTCCCCTATACTTTTCTGTGGGGTTAGAAGTAGTTGGAAATAGTTCATGAAGTTTTTAAATAATAATGAATGAGAAGTGAGAAAGTAGGACAAAGAGAAAACTAAGAACTCTTTTACTTTGGAAGTTATTTCACCTTATTAAAAATACATATTAAAGTCTCTGATGTCTGAATCAATTTCAAGATATGTGATGCATTATTCAGACAATTACATAAATCATTTAAAAAAATCTCGTGTGAAGATTCATTCAAAATTGTACCTACCAGTCGACGTAAATGCATCCACAGGAAAGCTTTTTAAGGTGAAATTCAGCGGAAACTAGAATGAAAATCTCCATTTGTTCTCTTGTGGCTGCAGGAAAGTTTGTTTTGAATAATGAGGTTTCTATATGAATTGTTTTTCTGAAACATAAGGACATAAGGACAAAAGCGTTGTTTTTACTTTGGTTGTGGTCGGTCGCTGTATTTCAAAAGGAGAATGAAGTTGGAGGGTGATGTAGGTCTGGCTCCCTCCTCCCCTCCCCCTTTCTGTTTCAGCTGGGAGATTAGTGGAGCCTGCTTGTTGTGCAGGGATGTGCAGGGATGGGCCGGGAAGCAGCAGCCAGCCGGCGCTGCTGCGAGACGAGCAGGAGCCGCGCCGGCTTTGCGGGGTTGGGCACCCCGCCCTGGCAGAGTGGGCGCCGGCCTTGGGTGGGAGGAGGGCAGACGCTGGGGTTCTCCCGGCTGGGGTCTGGGAGGATAAGGATATGGCTTCTGCTCTCTCAGAAGTCTCTAGGAGGTTGCCCTGAGAGGAGAGGCGGAAGGAGGTGTGGTATGTTTTTGCTGGGATAGGAAGGTATGAAATGCGTGCCTCGGGAGCGGATCAGAGCCAACAAAGGCCATGTCAAGCAGGAGAGGGCCTTCGTGGGAGGTTTGGCTCAGGTGTTTGATTTGTGCAGTTCGGGTCCTAGAGCGCAGATGCTGAAGGTAGAGGCAGATGGAGGGCAGGAGGACGGAGGAGGAACTGCGGGGAAGGAGGAACTGACAAGGAGGACATGCAGCGTTAATGAGCACCCCTGTGGTGGTGATTTCCTGTCCCGCCTCCTGTCACCACGTAGTCGGAATCTGGATCCTCCATTTACCTAAAGTGGACCCATTCTTTCCATTCTCCCATCTATTTAATGTTTAATCCCTCTCTCCTGGATCTTCACTCTCTCTGTACTAGCTTCTTCCCACCAGTGTTTAAACTGGTTGAACACTCTCCACATATTAGGAAGAGGTGGGGGCTGCCTTTCATCTCACACCCCTTCCAGGGTCTTCAAATTTCCAGGGTCACGCTTCTCAAGAGTTGCCTATACTCTGCATGTTCTACCTTCCACCCTCTTACCACCGTCTCTCTGCAGTCAACTCCCATCCCTCCTCGCCCCTTCCCGCCTCCAGGGAAACTGCCCAGACCAAGGTCACCAGTAACTGGCCTGGTGTTGAATCCAAAGGACTGCAGTCCTCACGTCTCACGCTCCCTAATTTGACAGAACTGACTACTCCTTTCTTGAAACTTCCATTCAGCCCTTGGTTTCTGTGTTGTTTTCCACCATCAGACCTAATTTAACATGCTCTTTATGCTGCGTAGTTATCCTTTAGGGCACTGTTCTCTAAGGGCCTCTCCTAGTCGTTTTTTCTCTGAAAGGAGCAGAAGGAATGCGAGGTCAACAGTCCAGGCAGGTTTATTGCTACACCTGAGACATACCCCCTCTGTTCAGGCAAAGAGGCTTTTTATGGCCAGGTGTTTTGGTGCACTTTTTGAGGGGAGGGATCAGGGAAAAGGTGGGCTTGTGGCTTGCTGACATGTCCCCTGGAGAATACTTGTAGCCTAGATAAGATGAAACCTAGGCCTGAGATGACAGGTGGGCTTATTTAAAAAGGCGGTACTCCTGCCCGGATTCTATCACTGTCCTAACTTTACAATCTTACCTTGGGCAATCCAGGTAGTCTCTGGTCCAAGCCACCATTTAATTCTCTCTGGCTTTACTGCCGCGTGTCCTAAATTGCCTCTCAAACTTCCTGCTGCTCGCCAGTCTCCATACTTTAGCCCGAGTGGGTAACCAGTGGTTCTCATCTTAACCTGCATCAGAATCAGCAGGAGGATTGTTAAAACTCAGGAACCTGGGAGCACCCCAAGTCTGAGTCAGTAGTCTGGCATGTATTAAGTATATTTTCTAGGGAACCATAACAAAGTACCACGAACTGGTGGCTTAAATAACAGAAACTTATGGTCTCTGGATGAACTAGAGGCTTCATCCTAATATCTAGAAACTCTATTTCCAAATGAAATCCCATTCTGAGGTACTGGGGGTTGGGACTTGAACATACGAATTTTGTTGCAGTGTCACAGTTCAGCTCATCACACACACCAGACGATGCTGATGTAGCTTCAAAACTAATCTGATCATAATGTTAGGGTGGCGTTGTGTATTTTCCTTGGTGCTTGTCCTCCCTGCAACAAAGAATTGAAGGGCAGAGATACAGTAGTGAAGCAGAGTAACAGTTTTACTTAAAGTTACTTAGAGAAAAAGTGCGGACAACCTCAGGGAGGAGAGGTGCCCTGAAAGATTTAAGCTTTACTTAAAGAGAGCAAGTGGACACTTGTAGAAAGGGGAGTGTGAGCTACATCATAGAAGAGGCACACCGAAAGATTGAGATAAAGTTTAAGGCTACACACTTAGAAAGTGCAGGGGACTTCAGAGAGAGGAGTGCACTGAAACGTTTAAGGTCTGGGGTTTTATAGGCAGTTGAAGATTTTCAGGAATGCGACACAGGACCGAGTGCGGACCGGCCAAATTGTCACAGAATGTTCATCTTTGTGAAGACATTGAGTTTCTTTCTTAACACAAGAAATATACTGCTTTGATTCCTTTCCAGGATATCAGCTTCTGTCTGGAAGCATATCAATCAAGACTGTCTGCCCTGCCTCCAAGGTGGGCTGAGCCACTGTCCATTTGATTAAAATGCAGTCTTAGCTTTAAGATAGAATTCTTCTTGAATAAGCTGGGCCTTTTAGCAGGTGCTAAAGTAAATCTTAACAGTGGTATGTTCTAATTGACCCAGTGAAAACATAGGCTATGCTGAAATACTTCTTTATCTGGGGAGTATTCCAACTTCTAGGCCAAGTTGCTCCTGGCCTTCTGAGCTTTCTATTAACTGGTTAACTCTTTGAGTCCCTTCTAGTGGGTTTTACTGGCCCTATTCTCTTTCCATCCTGCTCATATCTATTTTCCTGCCTGACAATAATAGTCTCCTTTTAAAGTTTTTTAATGGCTCCCCATTGCCTTCAAGGTAAATCAAAGCTCAACATGGCACTGAAGGTCCATCAAAATCTGGTCCCTGCCCCTTAGCCACTTGTCCTTTCACACCGCTTATGGTGCTTCTCTGCCCACACCACCACCTCTAAGGATGTTTTCAGGCTCAGCCCATGTGTCACTGAACATTTTAGGAGAGCTCATCACGCAGACCTATCTATCTCCTAGGGCCTACCTAGCACAGGCTTGACAGAATAACTGTTCAATAAATTTTGGTTGAGTGAAATGCAGACCATTATTTTCAATCCTTTCCCCCCCCCAAATTTTTTTTTTAATTCAAAAGAAAATTTAACTTGGAGTGCCAATTACAAAACAAAATCAGACTTTCTGGTTGGACCGCCCGACTATATTCCTGCCAATCTGGTTCATGCTCTGTCCCCTGCTGGTGGCCCGCGGTTCAGCGGGAATAGAATTGTTAGAGGTATTTACGGAAACCGGAGGTTGGTGCCTCAGCCTCATTTACATACCCACAATGCATTGCATCCAAGATGTTCTTATTTTAAAACAACTAGATCTTCTTTTTCTCTCAGCCTTTTTTTTTCTTTAAAAATGATACTACTTTTACACAATTGTCTGTGATAAGGCCAGAAGTGACTAGCTCTTTTGCGCACATAACTACCATTGTTGACCTAGGAGTTACAGTTACTCGAGAACTGTGTGAGGCTCAACGTTGGTATACTCTGGTTTCTCTTCAAATCGTATAAATCTTTCGCCTTTTACTAAAGATTTCCGTGGAGAGAAGCAACTCTGAGTTTTTGTTTAATTTTTTGAGGTCTTGCGCTTGCAGGACTGGTATTCGCGTGTCTGAAAAAAAGCCTGTAATGTGTAGGTAGTCGCAAAGGTGACAGTTCGGAAGGAGTAAGTTTTGCTGTAGAGGTGTTTTAGTTGCAGCTCTGGGGCCTTGTGCGTGAGTGGCGTTGTTCCAGTATAAACTCCTGTGCATTTCAGGTGAACAGTCCCTTTCCCACCCCCAGCGAATGGCACAGATGCCGCTTTGTCCAGTGGGCAAACGGCTGAAGACTGGATAGGTGCGTGAGTCGGCTCTCGTCTCTTGAGTCGATCTCGACTCCTTGGCTGGAGAAAAGTCGCTCTCGGGGGGCGAGCCCTACCTCCTAGGGGGCCTTTAGGTAAATACTCCGGTCCTGGGTGTGGCGTGGATGGTGCTGTCAGTTCTCGCGGAGTTGCGTGGAGTTCTTGCTGGAGAGGCGGTGCTGTTCCCCGAAGGAGGAAGGAGGGATGAGCGCGCTCATCCGGGAGGACAGGGCCACCGCCCGGAGGGCCCCAACCCCAGCCTTACCCAACTAGTTGACCACACAGATACAAGGAATTCAAGAGCACTCACAAAGATGGCGGATACACTTCATCTCTAAGACTTCGAATTTATGTTGCACGTTGGAACCCACCAAGCATTAACTTGAACTGCTTCCTGTGCTTGGCACGGGGCCTACAGAGCAGTCCCCTAGATGTTAGCTGCCTGTGGACTATCCGGTTAATCTGTTTTCGTTGAATAAAACTTTTAATGTTCAAGTTTGGGCATATCTGTTAACACAGATTTTTCAAGGCAGCACCTGAGCACCTCAGGCAAGGCCTATCTCTCTGGGGGCTCTGGCTCTAAATGTTGCACTTGTTTGCTTTAAAAAAAAAAAAACTTAAAAAAATTGAAGTATAATTGGTTACTTTTTGTATGACACACATTTGCGTATTGTTTTTTTCCTAATAAGCTAAGTTAGCCTTAAAACTAGAACTGGATCATTTGTTAAAAATAAGAAATTCTCAGGTATATCTGTGTTTCATATTTTTATGTAGATCAAAATGGCAAGTAGTTGTTATAAAATTTGAACTTTAAAAATAAGTGAGTTGACAGTCAAAAGCAATATACAATTTTTAACTGGATCCTACACAGAAAACAAAAATAAAACATAAAGAAGAAAACAAAACATACATTTTGGGGACATATGTGGACATTTCAATATGTACTCTATTTTAGATTATATTATTGAATTGATAATTGTATTAGTTTTCTTGCTGCTGCTGTAACAAAAAACCATAAACTTGGTGACTTAAAATGACACAAGTTTATTCTCTGGAGGTCAGAAGTCTAAAATGAAGGTGTTGGCAGGGTGGCATTTTTTCTAGAGACTTGAGGGGGGAATGTTCCCTTATCTTTCACATCTAGAAGCTGCATTTCTTGTCTCATGACCCGTTCCTTGCCTCATTCCAACTCTTGCTTCTGTCTTGTCTTATCCTAGTACTAACTCTCCATCTGCTACCTCCCTTTGGTAAGTACCCTCATGATTACCTTGGGCCCACCCCAGTAATCCCGATGATTTCCCCATCTCAAGACTTCTAATCACATCTGTAAAATCCTTGTTACCATGTAAGGTAACATATTCACAGGTTCCAGGGATTAGGATGTGGACACATCTGGAGGCTATTATAATAATGATATTGTAATTTTGTAGGAGAATGTCCTTATTCTTAGGAGAAACATAATGTGAAGTATTTAGTGGTGAAATATCATGGTATCTGAAACTTCTAAATAGCTCAGTAACCAAGGAGAGAGAAGTGTGTCAAACAGTGCTAGGCATATAGGTATTTATTACATTTTTCTTTCAGCTTTGTTGTGACTTTGAACTTTTGAAAGTGAAAAGTTGGAAGAAAGTAAACTATTAATAAATTCCATGTCATGTATATGTGTTTTAGGTGTTTGTATGGTACTTAAGTTTTCGTTTTTTAAAAGTTTTATTATTTTATTAAACTATAATCACCTTATACCAGTGGTTTCCATATTTTTTGATTTTTCAATTATTAAAATTAGTCCATTTCAAGACTAAAAAGAGTAAGAATGATGGGCCTGAAAGAGAGGAAACTTCTCCAAAGTTGGAAATCCATTCAACTTTATAGAAACCATAACTGTTCTGTTAACTTTACTTTCCTTCCTGGGCCCAAATAGAGAAAATTTAAGGCTCAAAATAGTTTGAGGGAAGGCTGGGCGGCTTCAGCCCATCGGGACCATGGTGCCCTCCTGTGGCAATCTGGAGAATTACCGCCATCTGACTTAGATTTCGTCGGACTTGAGGCACAATTCCCTCCTGTATGGTCATATCATTTATGCATGCCCAGCATTGTTCTCAGCGCTTGGGATATCAGTAAAGAAAAAAAAAATTTCCTCCTAGTGGAGCTTACGTTCAGGTGGATAGACAAGACAATAAACAAAGTCATAAGCGCTAAGGAAAAAGAGCAGCACAGGGACCTGGGGGGCAGAGTACAGGGAGTGGCAGTGTAGGATGCAATTTAAGAGTGTCCCGCATTGAGAAGGGGACTTTTGTATAGAGTTGAAAAGAGGCGAGAGAGTTAACCATGCAGCCAGATTTTGTGGGGTCAGGAGTTCTAAGAACAGAACCTCTCTCACTGGTCAGCCAAAAGGTCAGTACAAAAGCCCTAAGGCAAGAGCTTGTTTGTCAATTTCAAGACCCACACAGGTAGTTCCTCTGGAGCCAGTATGGAGAAAGAAGTAGAGGATGAGTTCAGAATGGGAGACTAGATCACCTAGGATCCTCCAGGCGACAGTAAGGGCTTTAGCTTTACTCTAAGTGAAATGGAGAGCCTTGCGAGATTGGGGGCAGAATGTTAGAATCTGAAGTTTAAAAGGATCACTCTGGCTGCTGTATTGAAAAGGGAATCAGCAGAAAGCAGAGTAAACCAGAGGAGAGATGATGGTGGCCCAGACCAGGGTATTAGCAATGGGGGTAGTGAGATATAGTTGGATTCTGGATATACTTGGAAGGTGGAGTCAGCAGAATGGATACAGAGATTAAAGAGACATCAAGGAGAATCCCATTGTTCTGAGTGGCAGGAAGGATGAGCTGAGCGGGCAGAGAGAGCACAGGAGCAGGAGTTCAGTTTTGAACATGAGGTGGAAATATGTTTAGCTAGAAATAGAAATGTGAGTCATTGGCATAGAAGTGGTATTTAAAGCTTGGAGACTGGATGAGATCACCAAGGTGTAAAAGTACAGCGAAAGAGAATGAGAGGAAGCAACCCGAGAGGTAGGAGCAAAACCAGGTTGAGTGTGGTGTCCTGGAGGAGAGACTGCAGGGGCCAGCAGGGAGCGGAGGTGGGGGTCTCTCCTTAGGCTGTGCTCTTGGGCCTTCCGGGATGTTGGCGTCCCTTCCCTCTGCACCAACTTTTCTGCTTGGTAAACAGAGGCACCCCACCCCACTGTCATAGCTGTCATTTGATCTCCCTCCCAGCTCCACAGGCACACAGGACAGACAGATAGCAAGACTGTTTATTGAACTTTCCTGGGCAGCTGCTCTCCCTCACACCCACTGGCATGCCTAACCCCCAGCCTCCCACGTAGGGCCAAGTGGAGAAATGCCCTGAGCTTGACCCCAGGCTCCTCTGCGAGGCTTCCTGTCACACAGCGTGGCCTTCCTGGATTGCTTCAGAGGCTCTGTTACTCTTTTCCTTGCGTATTCTCCTGCTGGAACTGTGGGAGACGGGCCTCCTGATCCCGAGGGCCGAAGTAAAAGCCCGTGATGCCGGAGGAGAGGTCACCTGGGTATAATGCTGTCGGCGGGGGATGGGAACCTGAGTCTGGCTGCCGGCTGCACCTCTGCTCCAGGCCCCCTACTCCCCACTCACCTCTGGCAACATTGACTTTGTTGGCCGCCAAGATATCCGCCTGAATGCTGTTCATTTTCATGTATAAGTCCCCGGCATTGCTCTGAGGACGGCAGCGAGAGGAACCCGGCTGCGGGGCCAGGACAGTGCGGACCGGAGGTGGGCTTGGGCAGAGGGATGCTGCTGACCGGAGGGGCGGGAAAGGGTACCAAAGGACCCCAGGTGGAGGAGCCCAAGCCCCTTCTGCAGCCGGCCGACAGGCCCGATGTGTGGGAGGGAACTGCTGTTTGTGGCGGGCGGGGCACGCTTACGAGGAAGAGCTGGTAGAGTTCCTCCCCCATGGACTTGCGCACGTGGTCCTCCACCACCGGGAACGTCTGCACGAAGTACTGCGGCGGCAGGCGGGTGACTGCAGTGCCCACGCCCGGTGCCCGCCGTGCCGCCCCCAGCCGCCCGCTCACCTCCAGCGTGAGGCTGGCCTGCCGCTGGCTGTTGCTGTGGTCGGTGTTGCCCATGGCGGTCATCAGGCTGTGCACCACGCGCAAGTGCAGCATCTCCTCCGCGAGGCTGGTGTTGCTGCGCGCCAGGACCCTGGGCCGGGGGTTCGGGCTGCTGGACCCTGGGCCTGTCCGGCAGGCAGCGCCCAGCCTGGCTTGTTGCATCCACCCACCACCCTCTGCCGGCTTACCCGATGGCCTTGGCGGCCGCGGCCTGCTGTAAGAACACTGGCAGCGGAGCGGTGAGTTGGAGAGCCGAGGATTCTGGCGGAAGGGCGGCCGTGAGGCAGGAGAGTCCCCGCCCCCACCCAGGTGCCTTCCCCGCCGAGTCTGAGCAGATCCCTACCGGAGAGGATCTTGGGCTGCAGTTTGCTGGTCTCTTTGAAGGACGGTATCAGCAGCTCCACAAGGCCCTTGAGCAGCTCCGGGCACACGTCGTAGTCGACCAGGTCCTTGATCAGAGCTATGGCTGGGGAAGGACAGAGGCAATGGGGAGGCCTGCCGCTCCAACACTCTACAGCCCCACCAAGGAAGCAAAGAGCCCCTTGAACCAAACCTCGTCCCCCTTTTCCCATCCTCTTCAACGACCTTTTCTAGCACCTTCCACTGACCAGCACTGTGCAAGGCAAAGGGGGAGCTGGGCAGGCGACACCTCAGACCTGCCCTCCTGGAGCTTGTGGTTAGGAGGAGGAAGAAGGGACGGAGACTGCCCAAGCTCACAGAACCAGTCGTTTGTGGGGATGGAAGGGATAGATGGTGATAGCTATCAAGAAGGCTCAGTCTGTCAGAGCAGGAGGCCCGCCTTGGGCTTGGAAGAATCAGGTTTAATGGAGGAGGAAAGGGCTGTGTCTTCAAAGGGGGACCAGGATGGGGGAAAACAAGGGGTGAAAGGAATAGAGCAAGTGGGTGTGGGATGTGTGGCAGAAAATGAGGTACACAGCAGTTTTTCTGACAAACCATTATTGAGTCCTTCTTTGCCTAGGCTCTGTGCTAAGAGCTTCCTATATTGTGTCCCACTGAAGCTCACTATAACCAAATGAGGTTAGCTTTGCAAAAACACTATGAGTATTATTCCCACTTTACATTTGAGGGAATGAGGCACGGAGAAGTGAAGCTCTTTATCTAATGTTCCACAGCTAGGAAATAGTGGAAACAAAAGGAGGGAAAGATTTAGTTAGAGCTTATTGAGAGGATTTTCTTCTGTAGATGCTTTTCGTTCATCATTCATTCCAGCATGCATGCAGCCTTTTGGCAAATCTGCATACACCTATTGTGCCAGGTGCACAATGTGGTGACAAGTGATAGAAAAGGGGACAGTAGGTTGTGGGAGTACCTAGGAAGATGGGGGAGGACTGCATATTTTTGTAAGAGAAAGGAAACAGGCAGAGCTAGAAGGAGACAGGGTGAAGTGATAATGTACACCAGGGTAACTTATTCTAAACTCCCGTGCTGGAGACATGGAAGACAGGACTTAGAAGCTTGCCCCCAGCACAGAAGTCAAGGGCGGCCTGTCTCTCCCTTACTTACTCCAGGTGGAGACAGGACTTAGGGAGTTTTTGTTTCCCTGACTAGCTCATTTGCATAACAGAATGCAGTGTAGACGTGAGAACTATTACAAGTGTTATCTGTTTGAATAATGAAAATTAGCCTTTTATTTTCTTTTTTGGGAGATTTTACCCAATAAGAAAATGCTTGGGATAATTCTGTATGACGGGAAGAAAAGTTTTTGTCCGTAGGTGCAAAGGCAGCACAGCATAGGGGATCAGCCAGTATCTGGGAAGATGGGCAGGGTAAGAATAGGTAAGTTTTTGTTTCTTTTCAGTTTAAGTGAGCCTTCTGCCTTCAAGCAGAGGTTAATTAGGAAGGAAAACAATAGAGAATTGGTAGTAAAATTTTTGGTAGGCCTTAGCTAGCTAAGACTAAGTATTTAGCATGTTGAAGACAGATTCTTGACCTGCTTCCTTAAAAAGGATTTTGATTTTTTTGTAAGGAAACAGAATTTGAACATGCTGCCTGGAAGCTGTGACTTGGGTCTTCTTTCTCTAAAGGTGGCTTATAACTGGTTTTTCTTATTTACCTCCTCCAGCTGCAGCTGAGGCCTTCATTCGTGGGTTGCATAGATGCCCCGTCCTTAAGGAGCCACAAAACCAAAAGCGCTTCTCTGGGATTCCCAGGGTTGGACAACATCTTACAGGTTTGGGTCTGCTTGCACCCGGAGCCGTGGACGGGGCAGGCTGCGGACCCGCGCTAGCACCCTCGGTAAGGCATGGAGCCAAGGCTTACAGGCACACCCACAGGGCACCGTATCTGGAACTCCATTTCAGTTTAAAACAGCATGTTCCTGTGTTTTGGGTCAATGTACATCTTTGGGTCAATGTACATCTTTTCCAGAAAACCTCATCACAGATTTTTCAGAGCACAGTGGTCATGGCACAGGAATAGGCACTAGACTGGGAGAATTGTATCAGTTAAGGAAAGAGTGGCAAATGTAGCTAAGTGTACTCTGGTTTCTCTTCAGTTCACACGTCTTTCGCATTTTACTGAAGATTTCCATGGAGAGGAATGTTTGCAAGTTTGCCTTATTTCTTATCTCAACGGGAAAGTTTCCAATGTTTTACCTGTGAAGTATGACGTTTGCCATAGTTTCTTATAGATACCTCTTATCAGAGCGAGATTCAATTTTTTCAAACTTTTTTCTAATAAGAGGATATATGTGCATTTGTATATGGCATATTAACCTTTTTATGTACTGCTAGATTCAATTTGCTAATATTTTGTGTAGGATTTTTGCATCTATCTTCCCAAGATTGGTATATAACTTCTCTTTTGCATGCTGTCATTGATGGATTTTGATATTGAGATTATGTTAGTCTTAGAAAATGTTAGGATATGTGCTCTCTTCTAATCTCTGGAAGAGTATGTGTAAGACTAGAATTTTTTTTCCTTGAATGTTTGATAGAATTCTCTGAAGCTATCTGATCTTATAGAAAAAATAAATAAATACTGATTTATTTCCTTTAAGGGTTAGAGGACTATTTGTGTTTTCTATTTCTTCTCAAGTCTGTTTTGGTAAGTTGTGTTTTCTAGCAGTTTTCATCTAAATTTTCAAACATATTGAAAAAAGTTATATCACCTTTTTATCATTTTATTGAATGTAGCATCTCTGGGAATGTCTCCTTTTATGTTTTTCATATTGATTAAATGGCTTTTCTCTTTTTGTCTCAGTGTCCTTTACCCTCAGGTCCCATGGGGTAACACAGATGGATGCCTCCTTATGCAGTGGAGTGCATTACGAAGAGGCTTGATCTCAGAGAACCAGAATGTTATAGAGTAGTTGGTAAGCATGCCTACCCTTTGCTACAAAGGGGGAAATATTGCTTAGCTTTTTGCTAACCAAACATCCTTGAAAAGCTAGTCTGGAACAAAGAACAGTTAGTTTTTCACTTATAAGACATGCAGAAATGTGAGAGACATGTAGAGAATTGTCTTGAGGATCATTTTTCTTTTGCTAGTAGTAATCCTTTAGCAGCCATCCTTGCCTTGCCCCTGAACTTAGGGGGAAAGCATTCAGTCTTTCATTAAAGTATAATATTAGCTGATTTTTTTTCTTGTTGTTGTTGATGCTTTTATCAAGTTGGGGAAGTTCTTCTATAGTCTTATTTTCCTGAGAATTTTTATCACAAATCGGGGTTGAATTTTGTCAAATGCATCTTCTGTACTGATTGACATTATAATGTGATTTTTTTTCTTTAGCTTATTAATTTGGTGAATTAAACTGGTTGATTTTTAGATCTGGAACCAGCCTTGCACTTCTGGAATGAGCCCCCACCCTTTTGGTCATGGTGTATAATTCTTTTCACGTACTGCTGAATTTTACTTGCTAGTATTTGTTAAGGATGTTTCCATCCAAACTGATGATGGATATTGATCTATAGACTTTTTTTGTTTTTCTTCTTTGCACTGCCATTGTCTGGTTTTGTTATTAGGGTAACACTGACTTCATAAGATTAGTTAGGAAGTATTCCCTCCTCTTCTATTTTCTAGAAGAGTTTATATGGCATTGTGTTCTATAAATGTCAGTTAGACCATGTTGATGGTTGATGATGGTGTTGAGTTCTAGATCCTTGCTGATTTTTCTATCTACTGTTCTATACATTCTTGAAAGAGGGGTGTGGAGGTCTCCAACTATGATTATAGATCTTTCTTTTCAATTCTGTTCCTTTTGTTCCCCATATTTTGTGGATCTCTAGTTCTGTGCATATATATTTAGGATTACTATGCTTCTTGGTGGATTTACCCCTTCATTATTATGTATGTACCTCTCTGTCTCTGGTAAATTTTTTTTATTTGCTCTGAAGCCAACTTTTTTGTTATTAATATACTACTCCTGTGTTCCTTTGATTAGTGTTTTCATGATTTATCTTATCTATCTTCTTACTTTCATTATTTTATTTGAAGTGAGACAGTATGTAGTTGGGTTAGTATGGATTTATTTTCATTTGTCCTGTTTAGATTTTATTGTGATTTGGTGTCTTTCATCAGTTCTTGAAAATTCTCAGCCATTGTCTCTCTTTTTTTTTTATTAGTTTTATTTTGGTATCATTAATCTACAATTACATGAAGGACATTATGTTTACTAGGCTCCCCCCTTCACCAAGTCCCCCCCACATACCCACTCACAGTCACTGTCCATCAACATAGTATGATGCTGTAAAATCACTACTTGTCTTCTCTGTGTTGCACAGCCCTCCCTGTGCCCCCCCACCACTATACATGTTAATCGTAATGCCCCCTTTCTTTTTTCCCACCCTTATCCCTCCTTTCCCACCCGTCCTCCCCAGTCCCTTTCCCTTTGGTAACTGTTAGTCCATTCATGGGTTCTGTGCTTCTGCTGCTGTTTTGTTCCTTCAGTTTTCTTTTGTTCTTATACTCCACATATGAGTGAAATCATTTGGTACTTGTCTTTCTCTGCCTGGCTTATTTCACTGAGCATAATACCCTCTAGCACCATCCATGTTGTTGCAAATGGTAGGATCTGTTTTTTTCTTATAGCTGAGTAATATTCCATTTTGTATATGTACCACATCTTCTTTATCCATTCATCTACTGATGGACACTAAGGTTGCTTCCATATCTTTGCTACTGTAAATAGTGCAGCGATGAACATAGGGGTGCATCTGTCTTTTTCAAACTGGAGTGCTGCATTCTTAGGGTAAATTCCTAGAAGTGGAATTCCTGGGTCAAATGGTATTTCTATTTTGAGCATTTTGAGGAACCTCCATACTGCTTTCCACAATGGTTGAACTA